TCCCTTGGTCTTATCTCTCCCTGGTGTTTTTTTTTGGTTTGGGTTTGTTTTTTTGTTTTTGTTTTTTTTTTTTACAAAAAATAGTAAGTTAGGCTTTTGTGTTAGGTGCTTCTCCTGAATCAATCACCTACCACTTCAGTGAGGTAGCACCTTCAAATAGGCATCAAGCTCAATAGTCTGCATTATTTTATCTATGAATTCCATGTTCATTTTGATGGATTTTTTTTTTTTCTGAAATACCAGTGAATTTAAATGTCAGCAAGATCAGCTGTTTCACTGCTACCCCTTTTAGTGGAAATATTCAGGTTAGTATGCTTGTCCTTCAACCCCAAACTACTTCTCAGGTTTCCCCGAGATGCCAGAAGTCCCATCTATTCTCTTCCCAGTTGCAAAAATCTCCGCTTTCAGTTTTGTCAGTTTCAGTCGTTTGTGTTTTTCTTTGCCAAAACTGCCTTTGGTATGGTAAAAACTGAAACTTGGAGAAATTTAAAATATGGGTGCTTCAGCAAAGTAGTACAAACTGCTGTAATGACTGCCTTTTCAACTTCATGTGCATGTATGCTTGCTAAAGATTACAGTTCTGTCACTTACATTTCACATGCTGTTGAACTTATAGTTTATTGCAGAATTGGGATAACATTATAGAGTTTAGCTCCAGCTTCTTGTGGAGTGTACTGGACTCAGGTTGTATTTGAAACAGAAATGGGAAGCTTCTCGGTTTGTTTGCAGATCTGTTGGTATATGTAACCCTTTTACATGTGACCAGTGTTTAGGAGGAATGTATTAGAACTAATAACTTCTCCTGTTTTTTTTTTAACAGAGGCTCCAACTTGGGAAAAAAGAAGCAACACATTTGTCACATACCAGGGTGCGGCAAAGTATATGGGAAAACCTCCCACTTGAGAGCTCACCTCCGCTGGCATTCTGGAGAGCGCCCGTTCGTTTGCAACTGGATGTTCTGTGGCAAAAGGTTCACTCGCAGCGACGAGCTTCAGCGGCACCGAAGAACACACACAGGTTTGCAGTCTTTGATTCTGGTGCATTTAACTAAAGACGTGTCCTGGAGAGGGCTTGGAGAAATACCTTTTAAAAGGAGAACAGATCTTTGTATTGTATTGACTTTAATGTAGTATGATTTTTCTAAAATCAGCTAATACTTAAAGCAGTGTATACACTTTGGTTTTTTTTTGTAGGTCTGAGGAGGAAAACCAGCTACCCCTTTTGATTCAGAACAGACATTTAAGCTAGTATTTAATATAGCTTAATCAGAATACTCTGACTCAGATTAAGGAATGCATTTTGTTTGAACCAGATTAGAACTGTTCCATCTTAAAACTTCAATAATCTTCTCATTTTAAAAAAAGAAAAATAGAGGGCTAGATGTCCAAGAAATCTTTCACAAAATCAATGAAGAGCGTGTGATGGTGCAACGTTCTACATTTTCTAGTTTCAGGGTTAGAACACCTGTTAGGGACTTCAGTTCACATTTGTCCTTTTGTCTAAAACAAAGTAATTTAGTGTAGATCTTCCTCCTTTTCCAGGAGCAGCTTGTTTCAATTCTGTTATCTGTATTACCTATTTTCCTACAATCTGAACCCATTAATTACATTCTACAGGGTGCTTGCCTTTTAAAGTTGGACTATTTAAAAAACCTAATGACAATAAATAATCATTGTGCTTACCAGCATTCACATTGGCTAGAAAATTGTCTTTGCAGTATCTATGAAAAACTTTTCATATTTTGTAGTTAATAGTGCGTGCTTGAACCCAAGCTGGGATCCTACAGTCTGTCTGGATGGGCAGCCAGATGGATTTAAAAAACAAGGTCAGCTGAATGATCCAGCTCAGAGGGTATAGTTAATGGCTTCCAGCATACCTGCATACCAATAAAAAGTAGAGAACTGCTGGGATCTATCATTTGACCTGTTTTCACATCTTTGTTACTGACCAGGAGGAGGCAATAGGGTGCACTCTTCCTAGGTTTGCTGATGACAGCAAACTGAGGCGACTGGCCAATGCATTTGAGGACAGGGCTGCTTTTCATAGGGTCTGGGGCTAGAGGAATGGGCTGATAGAAAACTTATGAAATCCAGCAAGGATAAACTGGGAGTGGAATTAACCCTTGCAGCAACACAAGCTAAGCACTGACTAGTTGGGAAGCCACTCAACTAAAAAGTACTTGGGAGTCTCAACAGACAACCAGAACATAAGAGCAGTAGCCAAGATGGCCAGGGCTGTATTGACAGAAGCAGAGACACTACTTCTAGGGAAGTGATTATCCCCTTCTTCTCAGTGCTGGTTAGCCTGCATGTAGAATATTTCATCTAGGATTTAGGTCCAAATATAAAAAAGACATTGATCAACAGGATTGAGTTCACTGAAGGGTGACCAACACAATCAGGAAGCTGCAGAATTTGCCTTATGAGGAGAGGCTGTAGAAACTGGGCTTACTCAGGCGCACAAAGAGAACAGTAAGAGCAGAGTGGAGTTTAATAGCAAACTTCTAGTACCTGCGAGGCCACCATTAACAAGACTGACTTCCCATGGTGGTGCATTGGTGGGAGGATGAGAGACAACAGACATAAATTGAAACAAGAGAGGTTCAGACCAGGTATAAATAAAAGCTTTGTTATTGTGAGGACAGACAGAATACCTGGAGTTTCTGCAGTCTCAATCCTTAAAGGTTTCCAAGACCAGACTGGATAAATTCCTGAGCAGTCAGGTCTGATGTCATAGGTGACCCTGCTTACAGAGACATCAGACTAGAGACGTCCAGAGGTCTCTTCAGACCTGAATTACCTTATGATCTTGTCCATCAGTCTCAAGTGTGATTCTGCAGGAGCTCATATAGTCTTTCCTGTCTGTCATTTGGCAGATTTTGTTCTGTTCTTAGAAGTTAGGTGATAATTGGTGTGAAACTTGGGAGCCTGCAGATATGAGATGGCAATGTTCTTTAGCTTGCCAGGAAGATCTCCCAAAACTCAGTGAGGCATACAAGAATAAATCAATTCTTTTAGTGGACATGTATGGGTATCTAGAAATCTAACACGCAAGTTTATCATGTTGGGTTGTCTTTTGCTTCAGTATAGCTAGTAAGAATTCTGACTCTTAAGAGGCAGCAAGTTATCCCAGGTTTCGATGTACATGTGATATTTTTAATGTTCTTGAAAACATTTTTTTTTAATTTATTCTTATCTCCTGTGGCAGGTGAGAAGAAATTTGTCTGTCCAGAATGTTCAAAACGCTTTATGAGAAGTGACCACCTTGCCAAACACATTAAAACACATCAGAATAAAAAAGGTATTCACTCTAGCAGTACAGTGCTGGCATCAGTAGAAGCAACACCGGATGATACTTTGATTACTGCAGGAGGAACAACACTTATCCTTGCAAATATCCAACAAGGTTCTGTTTCAGGAATAGGAACTGTTAATACGTCTGGCACCAGCAATCAGGATATTCTTACCAACACTGAAATACCTTTACAGCTTGTCACAGTTTCGGGAAACGAGACAATGGAGTAAATATTACACAAGATACCTATTAATTGTGGTTATTTTTATACAGTAGTGAGAAGAATATTGTTCCTAAGTTCTTAGATATCTTTTTATTGATGTGCAAAAATTTTTGGATTGACAGTAACTTGGTTATACATGACACTGAAATGCCTTACTTTGTATGATATTCCATAGTATATTAAAATGGTAAAATTGCATGGGTTTTGTAGGTACTTTTGGAATCTAGAAGAGATGAAATTTTACCAAGTTATATTAAAAAAAAAAAAAAAAAAAGAATTTAATGATGGAAATGGTAGTCTAACCAAATGCATCAATCCTGTGTGGTTTAGTGTAAAAAAATGAGAACATGTTGGTATTTATCTATTGTAAGATAAAAGAAGTTGATGAGTGAAAAGAAATCATGTTATGATAAAAGAAATTTTGTAATTTTCTTGATGACTGGAATTTTTATTATGCATAACTGACAAATCAAGTTTCCAAGCAAATGTTACATAGTGTAGGCTTTACTTAGCTCATCAACTTGTCATTTTGAAGCTAATTATTTTAATTAGGTTAACGATGTACAATATTTTAAGCATTACTCTTGTAAAATTTTGAAAACTACATTTTAACATGGAACTCTAGGGATAGTCACCTTTTAAATCCTATTGAAAAGCCATGTTTAAGATTTAATTTGCCAAAATGATGTCTTGTTAATACTCTTTCAGTAACCAAGGTGGGCAATATAACCAATGTTTAAAAAGCTTAAAATGTTAAAAAAAAAAAAAAAAAAAAAAAAAAAAGGTAGGAAAAAAAAAAAAAAAAAAAAAAAAAAATAGGTTGAGGCATTTGGGTGGTAAGGCAAATGTTATAGTGAAGTATATCCCTTCTTTTGAACATTGGAGGACCAAAAATAAGGTGTATTGCGTCTCAGCAGTGATTTTTATCAAATATTTTTCCAAAATACATCTGTCTGCCAGGGCCTTAAAAGCCATCATGTAAATTACCAGTAAAATATAACATATGCAAGTACAACAGAAAAATCACTTCCATATTGACAGTACTCTCAAACATATGGATATAGTCATAGTGAAATAGGGGGTTTATGAGGTTTTTATTTGTTTGTTGTTTAGTTTTTGGTTAGTCAATCTGCATTTAAATATCAGCCATCTTTCCTTTTTTGCTTCTTCCCTTAAAAATTGTATGTATCCAGTACATTTAACTGATAAACATATATGTTTTTTATTATGCTGAATTTTCTTTTTATTTTTTAATTACTGTTTATATTTTCAATTATAGAAAAATGTACAAAATGAAGATATATAGCCAGTCTGTAAGTGCTATACCATTTTCAAAAAATGTACAACAATAATTACTGCAGTTCACCTATTTACAAACATTTGGAAATCTGTTCATTTGTTAATTCTTAAAACCACCTCAAATTTAAAGGCTACCTTATTGTACGTTTAAAGTGTATTATAACAGTGTGGTAGTTAATAAAACACTATTTTTTTTTTTTTTTCTTTTGACTTGCGTTTACTGTATTTCTTGTTTAACTAACAAGGTGTAATTTCATAATATATCTTGACAGCCTGAGATCTTTTATTATTTTGTCCTTGATGGTGGGAAGTAGAAGTGGTGTTTCCTTTCCTTACAGCCAAGGGGATGGTAATATATCACGTCCTTGCTCTCAAAAAAACCCATCTGTATGTGCATGGACACGCATGTGCCATATGCTGTGTTGGTGTAGTGGTAGCTTTTTTGACCTTAGTCTGAGCAGGGCACAAAGGGAACATCAGCCCTGTCCTATAGATATGAAAATAGAGTTGCATTTGAGTTCCCTGGCACTTAAATGCCACAATAGAGACAGTCTTGGCAGGGAACTGTGTTTAAAAGGGATAGTTTAGATGGAGTAAGAAAGATTAGTGAGAACTGTGAGATTAGAGAGTGATGGTTCTATATGATGGTATAATGAAAATGAAAAGCCTTTATTTGTGAAGTCTAAAGTCTTGGAGTATCAAATGACCAGAGGACAGACCAGGATAATGTCGGATAGACCAGGTAGAGTTCAGCCTATAAAAGAGAGGATGGGAGGAAGTCATGAAGGGAAGATGTTCTGCATTTGCAGTTTAATGGGAAAAAAATAAAAATCAATGGAAATCTTTTGAGATTCAGAGCAACAGGAATTGACCGATATAGAGAAAAGGGAGTTAATGCATCATCAGCTTAATCTTCTGTTTAATAAAATAAAGATTAAATTAGTTGGGAAGTCACAAGAGCAGCAGCATGGGAGAGAAGACAGTTCTGCTTAGACTGAGTGTTCCATGGGCATTGTTTGGTGTGCTTCTTGCTTCACAGTAGTACAGTCTGTAGCATTTTACATATTTATTTTCACATCCACTTCCTCGCTTGTATAATTTCTTGGTACAATAGCCTTTAGATCCTTGGATGGTTTGTATCTGTTGTAGTCTGATGTAATCTCTAATTAAGACCTTAAAACTGGTTCTGCAAGAGAGCATGAGCTTCAAAGCAGCTCGCTATCCATTTCAACAGTCCAGGGTACGTACTTTCAGTAAATACAAGGCCTGCACAAACACTTGGTATAATCTAAGTATTCTTGGGCTCATTCCTCAATGAACTGATGGTTTTATCCTTGCAAGTTGAAAACTACTACTAATTCTTGCAGAGAACAAGAGTTTTAGTTATTGCTGCTTACCAGGCCAAGGGACAGTATGACTAAGGAGAATGATATAATCACTGAAACACTTGTGAGGAGCATGATTTCTGTTTTGAAGATTCAGATTTTCCTATGTGATTTGACTCCACAGAGCTCTTTCAGCTTGTCTGAACAAGAAATACCAAGCTTTGGTTTGAGGCATTTTGAAATGCTGGAATCAGTAAGATAACTTTTCCAACAGCTTCACGAAAGCCCTGATACATTCTCTGATAAGTTGTTCTGGTGGTGGGGAATGAGGGAATGGTCACCTGTCAAGTGGTTCTTAGTTCTTTTCAGTTAAGAACTAACGAGAAGGTGGCTGTCTTTCCACCAGTGCTTTACCACCAGAAGTGTGGAATGTGCACTGTGTAAAACAAGGCAGAAGAAGCTGACTGGTCTGGCTGGTCTTATCTGGTATGTATTTTCTATAAAAATACAACCTCCATTTGGTGCTCTAGAATTACAGTTTATTGCTATTTCACTGTATTCTTGTATATCTTTCCTGTAATCCATATCTGTAGGGTGTCTGTCTGCTAGAATCTTAGTCAGATGTGTAGGTGTTTTATGCAGTCTCAGGAATTGCCCCAAATGGGATCAGGAATTTACCACAAAAACCTGTGACCATACCTCTTCCTGGCAGTGAAACAGTTGTCTGTGGGAGCCTTCCACCTCGCTTGCCTGTGTATGTTGGTCCTTCGTAATTCCTGAGGTGTTCAAGAGGCCACAGACAGAAGAAAAAAAAAAAAAAAAGAGTAAACCGCCCTTAAGTGTGATTTTGGGGTTTTGCAGCACTGCAAAGATTCAGGTTGTCCCTTTGCTTAGAAGTGTGCTTCATGCCTTTTTTGCAGTGTCTCAGTTTTTGTGCTTGAAAAATAACTATTTATAAAAGGTGTACATAATTTTCAGGTACACAGTGTGAGGTACTGTGTCGTCTATAAGATTTACACACATTTATGTGTATGTGTGTGTCTGTGAAGGTAGTATGTTATTTGAGGATTCTTCATTTTCACCCAGAAGCCAGAAATATTTCTGTCCGTGAAAACCTATCCTTCACCTTCAGTGGTAAGTCTCCACTATCTCTGGCAGTCTAACTACAAACTGTGTGTAGTAAATGCCATCATAGGTGTTTACTGGGACTTAAAATTACCTATACAAAAAAAGTTCAAGATTTGCGTATTTTGAAATTGAGGAAAATGTGAAGTCTTCAAAGAAATAATAGACAGCTGCTCCTCTCTGATCCCCCAGAAAGGCCATATTTTTCAAGAGCAGCACTGGGGAGTGTGTGAGAAGATGATGAGGTAAACTGGTAACAAGCAGCTTGCTAGTACCAGACACTGAACAAGCAATTAATAAAAGAGTGCTCATGGCACAGTTTATGGGCTGGTAGGAAGACCCGTGAAGATGAGAAAGAAGTGAGGATAGTTGGAAAGAGGTAGGGACAGATCAGCTGGACGAGTGACTTGGAGCAGGGCTGCAGAAGGCTGTGAAGACACAATAGTAAAAGTTGATATAATTTATAGGTCCTAATCCCTAGTCGCTTTACTGAAACCTTCTGGGGTACAGGTTCCAGCCATGTGTGAATGCAGCCATACAGGGAGGTTGTAGATGGATCAGAGGAGATACAACAAAGCAAGGAAAGGGGGCCAGAAGGCAAAATTTGAGTGCTGCACAAAACTTCCCAGCATTCATGGTAGGTTCCTGGCAGTCCAGACTGCCTTTTGGTTCTTCACTGTTTCATGCACTTTTTTCTTGTCACAATTCTTCTGCCAGGTCGCCAGGTGCTGTAAAATCGCAAGAGACCACATGCTAGACTGAAGTTTGCCATGGATGAGCATTGTTGCTTAAGGACTAATAAAGCTTCTGTCTAGCAGTATGCACAACTGAGGGCAATTTACAATGACAAAAAATAGATCTGCATTAAAGTTTGACCTGTGGACTGCTGCTTGAGCATTATCTTGGCGGAGTCCTATCCTTTCATTTCTAAATACAGGGATTCTAGGGTTTAGGAGCTACGTTGAAAACTAAGTAGGAGAGATCATCTTGGTTCTATGGCAAAATCAAGCTTGTTGCCTCTTTGCTTTCACAGCTGTTTTGCATGTTGGCTTTAGGTGTTGTCTAAGAAAATGTTTATTTCTCAGTTCCCAGCTGCATAAGCTTTGTTTGCCTGCTGTGTTTAGAGCTGCTTTCCAAGGCTCTCTTGCCACAAAGAAGGCTGTAGCCAGCCGGTGATGGCAGCACGGGCCCAGGCACCCTGGGGACGCTCACATCAGGTGGAGGACCCACACAGCTCCACAGCCCTGCAGCTCCAAAGCCACAGCTCCTCTGGATCCACCGCCACAGGCCTGAGCGTACAGCATAACTTGAGTAACTTTATTTTAGAGAGCAAAGGGCTGGGCCAGGTCCTGCTGGCAGCAGGGGATCGGTGGCCTGACGGTAGGGCAGGTGGGCGCTGCGGTCCCTCGCTCCCCCCAGCCCCTTCACCACCCTCAGGCGGCACAGGCGGCGCGTGGGGCTGAGGAGGAAAGCGTGAGCAGGTGCTGGGGGTGGTGTGGGGCTGTGGGCCAAGGGTGTGAGCATGTGGTGTTAGGCTCCGTTTTCAGGTGACCATTGTTCAGTGTTGGATTTGTTTTGAAGTGATGTTTGGTCAGCGTGCTGCCGTGCTAGCAAGAAGTGAGGAGGGTCACTGCGGCTGTGAGGGGGTGTCACATGCAGGCCAGTGCCTTATGTCCTTGGCTTCCATATGTAACTCTGTCTGGGGTTATTTGTGCCAAAGCTGCTGTCTGAAATAACTGGATTTAGTAATAATTTTTCCATGTATGTTTGTAGATGTTTTTACTGAATGTAATGTATCCAAAATGTGTAATTATTTAACAGCTTGAAATGCTTCCAAAGGAGCTATTCAAGTCTTTTCTCTAAGTAACACACCTTTTAAAATTATATCAATATCTCATGTCATTTTGGGACTTCTCTTACATTTCCTTAAAAAAAAAATGATCCTCACAATCAGTATTTACATGAAGAATTAAAATAGTACCATTTTAAATTGTGCTATTTAGCTTTTTATGTGTCCAGTTGTGTCATCTGAGATTTGGAGCAGGTTGTATTTTCCCTGGAAGTCTTAACAGTCCTCAGAGGAAGGACTAGCTATGAGAAATATTTCAAATGTGAGAGGATTGGAGGATCTGCCATATTTTACAGTTTTCCCTCTCAGTACATGTATGATACGAAACACTAGTGAATGGGAATAGAGAACAATCGTGGATGAGCTCTGACTTCAGGAGCAGGGTAAGGGAGGTGAACTGTCATCTCCCAGCATTAATCCTCTGACTGTTCGTTTTCAACCTCACTTAACAGATGTCTCTCGCAGCTCTCCAAATTTCTTAGAAGCCCCTTTGTTCCTCTTGCCTCTGAGCAAGAGCAACAGATGTTTCCTGTCTATTTGTGTGAGGCAGAAAGCTTTGGGCTAGAAATGGTCAAAACTTTGTTCTGTCCTGCTTATGGGAAAGACAGTGTGAAAAAACAAACTGAGGACCCTACTTCTGAATGTTGGACACATGAAAAGGGAGCAAAGAGTTAACTATGGCCTGATGTCGCTGCAAGGGACCTATATGACTGTGAAGGTGAAGTAAGGTAAAAGAGTTATTTGTGAATGTCTTGTCTGGTCATGGCAGAGGTTTTAACACCTGTGCCAGACTGTATTATCTCATCTGTATAATTTCTTACAATAAAGCCTATACAATTAGGGGAAAAAACCCCCATCCTCACTTTTATTAAAAAATGTAATTAAATGTACATAGATATACAC